GTCGTGCCAAGTTGGGGGCTTCCCTCCTGTAGCACGGCCGATGATGCATTATGCTGACAGGACCTGGGCGACAGGCAGAGCTAACAGAGGGAGGGAGAGAGAGATTCGGAAAACTGCAGGGGATGAAATGGGAGGGTGTGTTGTGGGGAAGTCTGATGAAAACATCACAGACGCCACAGGCGCTATGACGCCCTGCTCACATTATGCAGGGCGCCTCCCACAGGTTCCGAGCAGCTATTACTCACATGCTACACAGTAGGGCCTGCTGTTCCATGGGGATGAGAAGCACACCGCACACATCGCCGCCATGCAGGACTATGCGTGTGAAGATCTTTAATTAATGCTAAGTGCTTTCAATTAATGCTGATACCCCTAAATGGTTCCTGATAAAAATCCAAGGTTAATGCATCCATTCAGCTAAACCAAGACAGTGAGGCGGTAATAGCGACATTCCGCTGTGATGCTAAAGGAAGCGGGAAGTGTGAGCAGGACAGATGAAACGTGACTCGGTACAGGAGGAGGTGACGATGGTGTTCGCTTTAGCGGTATGACCTCCAGAGAAGGGGGTGGCAGTGGGCGTCACCTGGATACTGCAGGCTAGGCAGGGGGTGGTACAGAGTCATTCCAAAATGCCAGCAGCCGTTTGTATCTCTATCTCTCTTTTTCTCTGTGAATCTCCCCAGGGGCTGAGTGCCCGCCCCCGGTCCCGCCTCGGAAAAGCACCTGGCATCGCTCGTCATGGGCGGCACGTCGCCATAATCGGCAGCTACTTAGCATTCCAGAGGAATATGGTGCTGTCATCCTGTGTTAAAAGAATCTCGGGGAAAAAATGGAGGTGGGGAACACGCCTGCCATGACTAGGGCTACCATGACGAGGCCTGCCATGACGAGGCCTGCCATGACAAGGGCTACCATGACGAGGCCTGCCATGACTAGGGCTACCATGACGAGGCCTGCCATGATGAGGCCTGCCATGACAAGGGCTACCATGACGAGAGCTGCCAGGTGGCTGGAGCCTCCATATTCCAGCCTAATGTGGACCTTTTATGGGTGTCTTACACTCCTTTGTTACGGCTCGCTTAATTTATCTGTGCCAGACTGCT